TCGACAGTTCTGTGTGATCCTGCTCAAACCCAACCTCCCCACACCCCCCTTACGCTGAACAGAGCAGGATGGAACCAAGACCTGTGCTGCAGGACCAGCAGACATTACCTGTAGACAGCATGGAGAGAAGACAACCTGTCACATCTCTTCCCTCCCCCATTTCACTGTTGTTGTGAAATTACTGGATGTTTTCAGGAAGCTCCAGGCCTCCACTCAAGGTTGGGAAATGCACTTACCCAGCAGAGCTGAGGAGAGGCTTTGAGAGAAACACCCCACGGGATCTGATCTAGCAAAGAGCACGTCTTCTGAAGGCGTAGTTCCTTCCATTCTCAGGCCCAAAAGACAGGCAGGGGCCACCTGAGGAAGCCAGCGAGGCGCGGAGCGCCCCGTCAGCACTCGGACCTTGGGGCTCCAACGTTGGGCAGAGCCCGGCACGGGCTGTCCCACGCTGCCACCAGAGACACGAGGGAGGTCGGATCACAAACCGTGTGCGTGCACAGAACTGTTTGGTTTGGAGACGACCTCTAAGATCATCGTGTCCAGCTGTTAATGCAGCGCTGCAAGGCCCACCACAGCCCTGAGCACCACATCTCCGCCGCTTCGAGACATCTCCAGGGATGGAGACTCCACCACTTCCCCGGGCAGCCTGTGCCAGGGCTCGGCAACCCCTTCGGTGAACAAGTTTTTCCTCATATCCAACCTACACCTCCCCTGCTGGAACTTGAGGCCATTTCCTCTCATTTTATTGCTTGTTATTTGGGCGAAGAGACCGAGCCCACCTCGAAGAGACCGAGCCCACCTCGAAGAGACCGAGCCCGCACGAACCAGACCAAGGCGCTGCTGTTCCTTCTGAAAACTGTTCCCCACTCTCAGCCTCAGTTTTTTTGAGAGAACGTTTATTCAGCGCATGGTAAAGCTGTTTCTAAATCCACCTCCTGAGAGCGTGGGACCTTCAGGTGTTGCACCAAGAAAACAAAGAGGACAGCATGCACAAGGGAAGAAGAGGTTTCCTCCAGAAAATACAGTAATTCAGCAATTAAAAAATGTAAAATTCAACATTACGGAGAAGAATCCAAGTGTACAACCGAAAAAAAAGAAAAAAAAGAATCTCTTTGGTATCGTTATATGCAGCTGAGTTTCACAACAGAGAGAAAAAAAACCCCAAACAGCCAAACAAACAAACATCCTCAAATTTGTACGTGCCAGGACTGGGCCGACATTCGTTCCCCTTCACAGACAATTCCCAGCAACACGTGAGGGCGACGCTTTGCGTCTGCCGAAGGGAAAACGCCACGGCCAAGCTCTGCGAACCGGGCAAACGCTCGGTCCTTGCAGGAATCTCAAACGGAGGGAACGGCTACATGACCTCCGTCAAACGTGGAGAAGACTCCAGAAAAAGGGCTGTTCGGCGCCAGGGACCCAACGCCCTGCGGATATTCCGGACACAACCAGCACGTTCCATCAGCGCCTGTCACGGGACACAATCCTATATGAACAAAGCACCGTTGGAACCGAAGGTCGGCTTCAACGGACAGAAACGCCACTGTCCTTCCCCGGCGAGGTGGCGGCTGATTGATTTAACAGTCCTGGAACGGAGGTTTTTAAAGCAAAACGTGGGCTGGAGCGACACAGGAAAGCACCTTGACGGGGTAGGTCCAACGTAGAGGAGCTGCAGGGAGTCAGGCTGAGTCCAGGAGCTCCAGGAGAGCACCGACTGCACCGAAATAACCCTGAGGAGCAGACAGGAATATCGTTAAATCCTCAACCACCAGCATGTATCCGACACAAAAGCAGCAATATTGCACGTACGGGGTCATTTAACAACTCGTAAAGAATAGTGGGGAGAAATAACCACAGGTAGCAACATTACAAAACAGATTCTAACTGCAGACCTTGTGCGGCTGTTTCTGAGGTTTTGCCATCATGCAAAAAAAAAAAAAAAAGAAGTTTAAAAATGAGTCATTTCACCTCGTGTTCCAGGAAAAGTGCTTTTAACTGTCCCTTCGACCAGTAGTCCAAAGCGTACGCCAGAAGCCTCATCGAGATCGTGTTGATCCGGAGGAAATTGCCAACGAACACCACGCGGTTAATGTTCTGCGAGGATTAAGGCGAAGAAGAAAAAAAAAAAAGAGCATCAAGGCTAAATTCCATTTTCTACCTTCAATAATGAAACCCCCACCTTAGAGCGATAAGAAAAAACAAGTTATGCTTAAAGTGCTTTTTAAAAAAAGCCACGTGCAGCTTTTCAAATATATTTTTGTGGCGAGACTTGAGGCAGAACCAGCTGCAAGTGGAGGGGAACGACCAGTCGGCACTAAAGCAACCAAATCCAGAGAATCAGCGTCACCTCGAGAGCTGTTCTGGCAGAAAAGGAGCGCAACCGCCTCGCTGAGTGAGACTGGGAGCTGCAGAGAGAGGAGCTGGAACCCACTTGCAGCTTTCTGGACTCAAAAAGAGACAATCTGCAACCAAGGGACGACACCGAGTCGGGTCGGGCTCTGCCACGAGCAAGAGATGGTTCAAAAGAGAGAAGGAAACGGCCTCAAGTTGCGCCAGAGGAGGTTTAGGTTGGACATTAGGAAAAAAGTTCTTCATGGAAAGGGTTGTCCAGGGCAGGGGTGGAGTCCCCACCCCGGAGGTATCTGAAGGCCGTGGAGCTGTGGTGCTCGGGGACACGGGTCAGCGGTGGCCCTGGCAGCGCTGGGGTAACGGCTGGACACCCCCTGAAAGGTCTTTTCCAACCCAAACAGTTCTGTGGTTCTACAAATCGAGCCACTGCTCGAAGTGTCGGGCAGGATCTGCAGAACGATACAAACCCCAGAGCCGAGTCAGGAAGCAGGAGCAGGCAGCTCACGTTAAGTCAGGCTCTTTTTCAGACTCTTCCAGGCTATCTCGAAAAGCCCAGCTCTAACTACAGCCTCTCTAGCTTCGCATTTTGAACAGATTTTTTTTCTACGAGATCCTTATACTGTGTAGGAACACAGGTCATCGAGCGCCACCTCCAATCTCTCTCCTCAACTCCAGCCTTTGGCTCATTTAAAAAGCTGAATGGCTCTCTACTGTTAATCTGAAAAAAGAATCCAAAAGTACAGAAAGAATACTTAGAGAGCCATAACCAACCCCATCCTAAAGCAGGGAAAAATACAAACCGAGCAGCGGTATTTTGGATTTAAAGCGGACTTCCAGCCAGATTTTGACACCCCCAAATAATTCTCCTGAGCCAAGTGACGAACTCCAAAGCCTTCTTGTTCTCCAACAAGAAAAGAATTCCGAGGAGTCGGGATCAAGTCCTACCTGCGAGTCCTACTCGCATCCTTCTCCGGATTTTCCTTCCATCCTCAAATCCATTAATGCTTTCCCCTAACTAATCCCTTCTGCCGCGCTCTGGAGAGCGAGAGCTCCGCAGCAGCACAACCGCGATACCTCTCGCTTAGTTTCAGCAGAAAGTGAAGACAAATAATGAGAATTTGCCGATAAGGAGAGGAGTCGGGAGGGGAGTCCCAGCGGGTCGGGCTCCGGCCGGAGCGGAGAGCGCGTCTCTGTTCTTTCATAGCCCTGTACAATGCTGCTTGACCTGAATGCAACAAGGCAGCACTGTAAAGAAGCTGAAAGCACAAAGCTACGGCGACGGCCGCCTGAGCGGTGGGGCCCAGCCACGAAGAAAGAATAAAAATCGAGAGCGACCCAGGGAAAACAACACGGGAAAGGTATCCGGCCTCTCCGCCCCACCTCTCCTTCTCTCTCAGCGGTCCCAAGAGCTGTAGTTCGTGGCACACCTACGGCTCCTCAAACCACCGCAGAGAAGCTGTCGAACTGCTGACCAAGCAGAGGACCCGGCGAGACCGACGGCCGACCCCGTCCGCGGCTCGTCCCTTCGCGGCGTGACGGTTCAGCTCGAATCACACGGGTGAGCGAGGACAAAAAGTTTTACCGGCGAATCCAAAGCGAGCGGATTCCGACTTCCCGCCCGCGCGCCTACGGAAGCGAGGGAAAAAGAGATCCAGCACGGCAGCAGCGCGCAAGCGACGCTTCAGGGAAGAAGCAAGGAAATGGATTTCCCCTTAATACCTCGTTAAGCGCACACATCCGTGCTATGGAGCCAATGTTATTAGTGATGGTAATTAAAGTGGCCTTCGCGAGGTCCTCTTTGCTGACAGATTCCCGCTTCTCCTTGCTCATCATGTTGCCAAAGCTGCAAAGACAGTTTTTTCCTGGTTAAAGATCCGTTTGCATCAGAATTCCAGGAGAAAACAGGAACTGCTAAATTGCACCGGAGCGATTTGTCTTGAATGATTTACTTGGAACTTTAGGAAGTGTTGTTAGTGGAGAGCGTTGCTCTCCTACGATATGTCAATCGAGCTTTTTCAGCCTCGCAGAACCTCCGGTGAAAAGGAAAAAAATAGATTAAAACCAGTCAGGTCGTTACCTGGACGCTACAGCCCAGCCGGGCAACCCGAAGCGCTCGTAGTCTCCTCCGTAAATGTCCCGCACCAGTTTGTCCACTTTGGTGCTGTCTCCGTGCGACGCCATCTCCAGGGCCTCTTCGAAGGTGGAGCAGCCGGTAAGGAGGCAGCAGAGGCCAAAGAAGGTTCCCCCTCCGAGGCTGCAACAACAAAAGAAAAGTCAAAGTCACCCTCCTTGCCTCTAAAGAGGAGGAGGAAGAAACCATCTCGTTCCGCTGAGCGCTGGGATCGCTCGGCTCCGTGTGAGCCCCGTTCCTTCAGCTTCTCCTCTTTCCAGCGAGAGCAATCTCAGGAGAGGAGCAGTTTCTTTACGTCTGGGACTTTCAAATAACTACAGAATCCCACAGCCTGACAGCCTTCTGCACATGGCGTGTTTCTAAAAGAGAAATTCATTTCCTTGTTTTACAATCATAGAACATTGGGGGTTGGAAGGGACCTCTAGAGATCA